CCGCTGCCAACCGTCCCACCCACTTAGAGCCACCGTAAAACCGACTGCACCAGCCCCCGACGCCTGGTCCATCCACCTGGGTGGGTGTAATGGAAGAACCAAACGCCGGAAGGGAAGGAGCTAGAGCAGGGCCGACACACCTAACATCGGCACACCGAGCCAAATTAAAGAAATTTGGCTAACCGAAATCCAACCTTCCGAGAGTCGACTCAGCGAGGACGAAATAGCCAACCATCCCCGTTCGAAATGCCAGCATCCCAACAACCGGCATTTCGAAGGCCAACAAAACCGCAGCCAACCGTCCCACCCACTTAGAGCCACCATAAAACCGACTGCACTACCCCCCGATGCCTGGTCCATCCACCTGGGTGGGTGTAATGGAAGAACCAAACGCCGGAAGGGAAGGAGCTAGAGCAGGGCCGACACACCTAACATCGGCACTCAGAAATCCGACCTCGGAGTGTCAGCCCCACAAGGACATCCCAATCATCCTCGCTTGAAATGCCGGCATCCCAACAACCAGCATTTCAGGGGCCAACAAACCGATGCCCAACACCGATTCCCACTGCCAACTCGAACTGCATTAGCTCTGAGGTCCGTTCTTGTTGCTAGTGGGTGGGACACTAGTCGAACGAGGCGCCAAGGGAGGGTGTGAGCTAACGCAGGGCCTAGCAAGGGCAAAAACCAGGCCTTTTAAAACCGACCGAAAAATCCTTCAGGGACCATACCCCCCCTATATATGCTGAAAAAACATAAATCCAAGTTACAGTAGTAGATACGATTTTGCTATAGTGTCACACTCACCAAACAGGCCCCAAATTCAAACACCAAGCCAATTCCTCGTCACAGCCCGTGACCAAACATCATTCTTAGATCATAATGATATGCAAAACACACTAACAAACATTTGGGTCGACGAAAAAGCAATAGCCAAAACGGCAAAAGCAGTGGTTCTCCGAAAGCCCACACTTCAAAAACCACATGTGAAAAATAAAATTCATGCCACCCACAATTTGATTTCCAGCTACAAAAGATATATGAACTATTTTTAATGGCTTTTTGCTTTGCAAACACCAAAAAAACAAACGGAAAAGAGCAAGAACCAAGCCTTTTTTTAGCCGACCGGAAAAACCTTCACTGACCATGCCCCCCGCTACATGATGCAACGATAGCCGACATTCCTCGAGCGAGCATGTGAAAACATGATCATGCCCCCCGATGTCACAAGGGTGCGCATGAGGTAACACACCCCCCCTATATATGCTTAAAAAACATAAACCCAAGTTACAGCAGCAGATACGATTTTGCTCTAG